GCCAAGTCCTCAAGTTCTGCCGTCAAAACATAACTACTACTTCCCCATACAGCAGTTTGGATCTAGCATCTGTCAGTTGTTGCAACATCTTCAGTGGTCACGGGTTCACATATTTGCAGAGGATAATGATGGTGCGTATCAGTCAATGTTGTTGTCTTGCTTCTTTGATCAGGACCTAATTGACCGGTGAAGACCCGGTTAGAATGGATCTTCATCAACCCATGCTTGTCGTAAAAGGCGAATAACTGGATCGGTCGGTCAGGGTCACTGACTTGGTTGCCACGTCCCAATTGCGTAGAACGATGTTGATCACTTTGTCAAGACTCGATTATTTACAGACTGCCACCATAATGCTGGATTAATTCTAAGTTTGGCGTTAAACAAAACACACACAAAAGCAACAAAAGTACATTATTGCAAGATGGTAACGTTTCTTCAGATCTTGTAGCCATTCCTTCGTTTTAGGTTCCAAATGATGGTTATAGCTTTTTACAGCATTTCAGAATAGGAAACGTTTCGACCATGATCCAATGGAATGAAAATGTTTACAAACTTTCACTATTCGCTAATTCTTGTATTCAATTCTTTTAATCGTGTAATAATCGTTTTCTTTTACCCAATAAGCCTCGTGGGGTTTAACAACGGTTCTGAAAGCCAATGGGATTACAAGTTCCTCAACCTTGTTCAACTCGTCCAGTAGCTCAGAAGTACAGACCATGCTATGGAGAGTATTACGAAGTGTGTTACCTTGGCACATCGTGTTGCTGGGTAGACAAGAGGCAGTGCGGCATCTTCTTATAGAGGTACTGTAGACCATAGAGATCAAGATAAAAAACATGTCACTGTCTCTTTTTGGAGAATGTGAGTGAATTTACTTTTACGCCGCTTTTAGCAATTTTTCTGCAATATCACAGCGGGGGCATCAGAAATGGGCTTCACACATTGTGCCCGGGTCTGCGGCGTGACGAGCGAACGCGTTGACCCATATGCTACTCCACAGCGCCCCTCATGCTGGAAGAATCTGCTTTTCACTGTGTAACAGACCAACGGGATCGGGTGGTCAGGCTCGCTGTCTTGGTTGACACATGTCATCGTATCCAAATTGCGTAGATTGATGTTCATGCTTTTGATTGTCTTGTCCAGACTCGATTATTTACAGATCGCCGCCATAAAGCTGGAATATTGCTTAGTGCGGCTTAAACAACAAACCAACAAAAGTCACTGTGTTGTTGAACTGCCTTGCCTCTTTGAACTCCAAAAGCATTGTGATGTCATCATTCTCAAATTTCACGAGAGATCACATTGTCTTGTGTTTTGTTTGTGATACTTTATAACTTGATATTGATCTCAAACATAAAGCTGGTTTTATCACTTAAAAGCGCAAATTATATGTGCGTGTAATTTCAGTTTGTTTCTCAATTCTGTAGAGTGACATCATCGCAGAGGAATGCGTTATGACGTTACGTAAGAAGCTGACATTCAAAATTAAAATTGAACAGCATCGACCATACATGCAGTATTCAGCAACCCTGGTTTTCGAATATAGTGACTGAGTGAGTTTAGTTTTACCCCGCTTTTAGCAATATTCCAGCAATATCAGCGCACATGGGACCAGAAATGGGCTTCACACATTGTGCCCATGTAGTGAATCGAACCCGAGTCTTGGGCGTGACGAGTGAACGCTTTAACGACTAGGTTACCGCCCTCTTATTGAATAAATATTGAACACTTCATATGGTTTACATGGAGCTTCCGAATTGGAAAGGTCCCTAGCTCAAAATGGTAGTCGAAAGAAGGGAAAGTACAATGTTTACATATAATGCTGGAAACTGCATCTATGTTGAAATAGAAAATATGTGTGAGCTGAATGTAGGTGTTCCTCTTCTGCGACAGTGCCATAAAAAGACACACAAATATTACACCCACACACACATTCACGCACATTGTATGCTCAACGTACGAATCAAACATTTGATGATCAATTATATTCTTTCCCTTATAACTCTGGCAATACTCTGGGTCACTCCAGGCTGATCAGTTTGATGTACGTCATGGACGTCAAACCGACCTCCGATCCTCGTCCTCTTGGTTGATCCTGATACCGGAGAACAATCTGGAGGTGTTCCAGAACGACAGCTGGCTCGACAACGTTGCCGTCATGACATTGCCTGTTGTTGACATCCGCCACTGGATGAAGGTAAATGAAGAGCAAACTTGCCCTTAAAACCCTGAAATCTATATTTTGTATCTTGTATCCTCATTAAGTAGTAATGCCTCTGACATAAAATGGTCAAATGAATCAAATGTCGTGATATAAAGTCTTTACAAACAGAGTTGTAATTAACATGTTTTACTACTATTAACATTATGACATACTGCTGGGAATTCATCCATCGACTGACTACTACTCAATAACTGCTGATTGAGTTCGGTTAAGACTTATACTGGTCGTTTTGATCCAAAGGTAGATTTAACACTGTTAAAGCATAGAAATAGGCAATTCAATATGTCTCTCTGACATACAAAATCTTTCTCACGAAAGGCCAAGCGTGATGGAACACTGTTGTCGATATGGATAAACTGAAAAAACTATCATGTTCAAGGTTTGACTGGAAAACGATAATGAGTCACCACCTATTTGTTCCGTTCTTAGTTCGATTGCTGACACATTATTCTGTTATACATGTTATGTGCAATGTATGATTTTTTTTTTCAGAATCCATTTGAAGGCAAGCTAGGCGATATATTTACTCTTATGTACAGAAAATATGGCCGGGAGTTTGAACATATTGGTCGATGTTATGTCAATGGAACTCTTGATGTAAACAACAACGTTTTTCCTAATAGAAACCATGGATTGAACGGAAGGCCATTAGTTGCCTCAACACTTCGGGTAAATCGTTTTCTTGTTGCTGTGTGTAGACTTCTTGTTGTTGCATATGGTTTTTTTGTGGTTATATGTAGTTTTCTAGTTGTTCCTAATACCAAAAAAGGATTGAACGGATTACACTTCGGGTAAAAGGATTTCTAGTTGTATGTGGTTTTCTTGTTGTTCCTAATACAAAGAATGGATTGAACGGAATGCCTTTACTTGCCGCAACACATCGGGCAATTCGTTTTCTTGTTGTGTGTCGTTTTCTTGTCGTATGTGGTTTTCGTCTTGTTGCTAATGCCAATCATGGGTTGAACGGAAGGCCTTCACTTGCCGCAACACATCGGACTATTCGTTTTCTTGTTGTTGCATGTGCTTTTCATGTTGTGTGTAATTTTCTTGTTGTATGTGGGATTCTTACAAAAAGAAAAACTATGACTATTGAGATATTTCGTTTGGTACTTATGGCAACCACATCCAACTGAGAAACCCCACACGAAGTTAAAGTCAAGGTCACAGCTTGACGACGGAAAAATAGCCAGATGAAAGATTTGATTGGACACGAAATAATTAATACATTTCAAATTAATAATTAACACATTTCAAGACAATAAGCACATAATGATTGTTGGTGTGACTATATTATATTTGTTTTTGTTTCAGTGGCCCCCCTACACGTACATCCGAAATGTGTCAGGGAGGATCGTGTTTGAGGGAATATGTATCGACATATTAAAGGAACTCTCCGTCCTAATGAATTTTACGTATGCTGATTCTATACCTTGTTAATGCAGCAGTTTGTTGTCAATTTTGCCATCAAAAACCGTGATCTGAAACTGAAGGATGACATTGATGGTATCATTTATTTATAACGTCTCCACTAACGTTTATTCCGGTGGAACGAGGACATGAAATTTTAGCCATCATGTTAATCAACACTTATCGTGATGGAATAAATCAATATTACCTCACCAAAAGGTATTAGATCACAGATCGATGAACAGGATGTATGTTTTTCATTTTTCTAGGTAGTGTAATATCATTTGTGATGAGTATCTAGCGCTCCGAATGTTGACAAATATATCATTTCTATGTATTACAAGCTCCAGGTTTATTTGTATTCAATATTTTAGTTTTAAGATAATGTTTCCTCCGGATATGGAATGGGGAGTACAAAGGAGCGATAATACGTGGACAGGACTTGTGGGGCAAGTTGAAAGGAAGGTACGTTATAGAGGTAAATAGATATCCATTGCTCCTTGTAAAAGGATTTCAAAGAACGCCATATGACTCTTGCTCAGAAGTTGTTCGAACAAGGTTACAACGTACAAGGCATCAGTAAAAGCAGGGATGGTTTTGTTGCTTATATGATTATAAGTCTGAATTATGTCATTAGTTGTAGTGATTATTTAATCAATTACTCAGCCCCATAAGGCCAAACTGTATCCACGATGTTGTATCTCGACTTAATATATTTGATTGTGTTCTTCAGGAGATTGATATGACCGTAGCAGCTCTTGCCCGGACGTATGAGAGACAGAAAGTAATGGACTTCAGTTACCCAATAGGTTTTGACATAGGGGCCGCCGTGTACCGTATACCAGACCCAGAAAATTCAAGTTGGCAGCTCTACCTGAAACCCTTGTCGTTATATACCCAGCTTTGTCTTGGCATCTCCTTCCTGCTGCTGGTTCTGCTTTTGTGTACAACGAGGTACTGCCACAGGATCAGTGAAGGAGGAGCGGGCGCATCGGACACCTGGCTCATAGTGTTTGGATTGATGATACGGCAAAGTGAGACAATGACCATTTAATTTTCAGGGAACGGGATTAATGTTTTGGTTGTGTCAAATATGAAGAAGTTCAAGTTTAACGTCTTGAAGACAACCTTAGTACTCTCTGAAAAGGTGGGCGGTGAGATTGCTTAATAGTTTAAGCGTCCGCTCGTCACGCTGAAGGTCCGTGTTCGATTCCCCACATTGGTACAATGTGTGCAGCCCATTTCTGGTGTCCCCGCTGTGATATTGCTGGAATATTGCTAAAAGTGGCGTAAAACATGTCTACAATATATCAAGTAAACAATTGTTAATTTGTTAAAACATGAGGATTAATTACAGTTTGAAAATATCTGTAGGACAGGTTTCCTTTTAAGATACCCATGCCTTCGCTATACTTTTGAGAAAATATAGAGATTCTGCAGAAACTTTGCTCTTTTGACTGAAGATCATTGTGAATGAAAGTTTTATGTTTTGTTTCAGGTCCATACGTAAATCAGATGCGAGCATCCAGTAACATCCTTTTCAGTTTTATCTGTGTGTTCGGCATGCTATCAAGCGCTATCTACAGCAGCAATATGATAGCTTTCTTCACAGTTTCAAAGGAAGTGTTACCTTTCACAACCTTCGAGGAAATGGTAACACAAGACACTTACAAGTGGGGTACACTCGGTGGTTCTCTGTGGAGCGACTCCTTTGAGGTACGTATCATGCCTTTACACTTCCTTCCTATCGATTATCAAGTAAAATCGTGTTAGTGCATGTGTCAGAGGCGAAGGGATATCCTCGTGGTTTCAGCGTTCGTTCGTCACGCCTGATTCACTGCTCCACGTGGGTACAATTTGTCAAACCCATTTGTGATATTACTGGAATTGTTGTTTAACCCAGCACTCAGCAACATGAATATACAGGGCAATACAGTGCGTGCCATCATTAGCATAGGTTCTAGCAATTGGGAATTGCTATTATCCCATTCAACGAACCTGACCATCCAATCCATGTAAGTGCCTCATCGGCAAGCATTGGCTTCGGGAGTTAACTTTTAGTTTAAAATTTCCCCGGATGTTGACCGTCGTATTAGTCTCAGACAGCATTGTTGCCGTTGACCTTTACTCTCTAAAAAGTAGGGAACTTCATTTTTAAGTTACGATTGAAAACAATGGGAGATATTATCGGAGTCAATCAATGTTGATATGATAATAATGAATGTTTAGAGAGTGCATCACCACTTGCACTTCCTTATGACCATAGTTGTTTGTACAGTAATCGTTCCTGAAACATGACTGGTGTATGACATCAAATTTGCATGTTTACGATTTTCATTTTCAAACAAAGAAAAAACCCGGCTAGAAACAAACACTAACAACTGTGTGATGCAAGGTGATTGTCAATGGTCTACAGTGATTTATCGACCTTCTTGAAAACCGTCAAAATCACGTTGTGCACGTGCATTCCATGGGTTGTGATTAGGAGTGGTGATAAAGAGAAATGGTGGTCCGTTCATAAGATGTCTGTCTTTGAAAAGTTTGTTAACGCTTATACTTCCTAACCAAATTGAAAGTTCAGGTTCCCCTACTTTTTTAAGAGTACCATGGTTTGTTTCGTACCTCAGCAATCGACAGCAGTCAGTTATCGTAAATAATCATGCATCTAAGAAAAGCCCATTATCCTGTGGAGTACCACAAGGATCGGTTCTGGGACCAGTGTTGTTTACGCTTTACACCAGAGATCTAGGAGATGTAATCAGTACACATGATGTGAGCCACCATTTTTATGCCGATGACACCCAGTTGTCTGATTCGTGCAATCCCAGTACAGCAGATCGAATGTGGGAACGACTGTCAGAGTGTTCTGGATGACGACACATTTGCTCAAACTGAATGAGACGAAAACAGAGGCGTTGCTTGTCGGCACTAAGAAGAATGTTCATCAAGTGATGACTAACTCAGTCACAGTTTGCAACACTGTCATTCCATTTTTGAAAACCGTAAAAAACCTTGGACTTCATTTGGACTCTGATCTCTCTTTGAAAGCTCATATTGACACAGTCTGCAAATCCTGTTACTTCCATTTGCGGAACATTAGCAGCATCCGAAGCTCCCTTACTACAGCGGCAGCTCATGCACTGGTGCGATCTCTGGTTCTCTCAAAGATTGACTACTGTAATAACATCTTCTATGGACTTTCCGAAAAACTTCTATCAAAACTCCAGAAAGTACAAAACTCTGCAGCTCGACTTGTCAGCAAAGTTCCCTCTAGGATCCACATAACGTCTGTTCTTAAGGCTCTTCACTGGCTACCAATCAGAGCCAGAATTGAATTCAAGGTCCAGAGTCTTGCATACCAGTGTTACCATCTTACGGCTCCAGAGTACCTTGTTGAGCTAGTCTCCAAGCACAATCCTTCCAGAATGTTAAGATCTGCAGATAGACACCTTCTCACTATTCCCAGACAGAAACTCCGGGCATTCGGGTTTCGCTCCTTCAGCTATAGTGCTCCACAGCTGTGGAATCAACTCCCCACTGAACTCAAAATGTCTCCCTCCATTGACTCATTTAAAAGTTCCCTGAAAACCCATCTTTTCAGAAAATATTACAATCTATAACTTAACTTTTCAAAAAAAAATTCAGCCACGTTCTAGCATAACCTTTGCTTTTTAAATATGTGTAAATATGTAGCGCTTTGAGCATGCCTTATGTGTGGAATTCAGCGCATTATAAATACACATATTATTATTATTATTATATATTCAGACCTGGAATCCCGAGGGAAACAGCTGTTGCCTTGGTTAATTGTGTCTTAAAACAGCCAGTAGATTTCCAGATCCAGACTCGAACAACCCCAGGCTACTATGACCTTTTGGGAATATTGATGATGGCGGTGAAAGACATAGCCCATCCGTCTAAGACTGCTGTGTTTTGCTTCAGGAGAACTCTTTACAGGCAATGCGATTTCTTTTATGATCCAGATTTCCAAAGCCCCGATTCATAAACAGTTTTGGCAAGGTGTCGTGAGCCTCAATAAAAGTGACCCCGATGTGCTCCATGCATCCGAGCTGGTACATAAGAAGAAAGTGATGGAGGGAAAATATGTCTTTGTTGTTGAATCGGACATCCTTGAGACATGGGTACAAGACGACTGTTCACTGAAACTGATTCCAGGAGTAGCTTTCCCCATGCGATATTCCCTTGGTTTACCTCTAAATTCACCATATGAAAGGATTGTTTCGGATTGGTAAGAACGTCTTTTTGTGTTTCTGTTAATGTCACCTATGTGCAAATCACCTAAACACGTGCACATGCTCATGGTTTGAAACTTGTGAGAAATGACATGCGCGCAGATGTTAGTTTGTTGTTTAAACGCCACACTCAAGAATATTCAAGCTATACGTATATAATCGAGTCTGGACAGGATAATCCGGTGTTCCACTTGTTAAACAAGTCTTATCACAGCTGCAACATTCTAGACCTCAGTGAAGGTTTCTAAACGTTCTATGATGGACATGTGGAGGATATTTCCAAATTTGATACAGTGGTAAAAGTTATATCGAACGCAATTCCTTATTTTGACTACGATAGCATACCATAGACTCCCGATTTTGTTATAGGTTAGTCAATACATTTGCATGTGTATGGGACGTGAACCAGTTATGTTGCAGGATATTTGCATAGACGATCGCTGTGCTAGGACACAATGTTCTGGCCATGATCGGTTGCGGGCGATCGTGTCATGGTGTGCGGGATATAATGCACAAGACAAACGTACAGCCTTTGTTATTGAAATGAAAACTTGACTTATCAGCCATGTGTGGACGAAATTGTCGTTTCATTCATTAGAGTTATGGGCAGAATTTTTGAACTGCAAGATGAGAATGCCAGACCATATCACGCCTTATCCGGTAATCTCTGACGAGAAGGCATCCGGACATTCAAATAGCCCGCATGATCCCTACTCATGACCAAAGATACAGCATTTGTGGAATGACCACATGCGGCTTCTGGACAAGGGCAACTCACAATATGTAATGAAAATGTGCATGAATTGGCCAAAATTGCCAACACCCAAGATATTAAACAAATTACAGATCTTATCGTTATTACACCTTCACTATCCTTTAATCGGTTGCCTGTTTTTTGTCCGTCATCTGTCTACCTCTATATGATTATGTTTCAGGTTATTGTTATTTTCTGAACGAGGCCTGTATGATGTCTGGAGAAGAAAATGGATGCCGAAAAATAATTCGTGCTCAATGCAGCACACGATGAACGGCAAAACTGTCACAGTCACAGACTTGCAAAGTGCATTCTATATCCTTGGAATCGGAAGTTTTATTGCCACTGTATCACTGATGTTCGAAACTGGCTTTGGCAAGCGACAACGTTCACAACAAGAACATAAGAGTAAAGGTTAACAATCACCGTCTTTGAAGAAACAAGCGGTGTCTGTTGAGACTCTACTGCATGCTGGTCGTATTATAAATGAAAAGGTTCTGACTTCGCCAGCTTCAGGGTGTTACGTGGAGACGGGATTACATGGCAATGCTTTTGCAAGAGAAACTTCAGACTCAGTTATGTGCCACCGATATGTCTATGGAATAGATAATGAAATATATAACATATTACAATAAATGTATCCATGTACAGTACCCTTGATTATACATTTATGAGAGTTGCTTTAGCTTTGGTGAATGTATCGCCCTAGACTGACAACCTCCAATGTCCATGAACTTGTATTCCTTTGGTTTGTGGTTTTCACAGATCAGATTATTTACTAATGGTCCAAAGAGAAAGCTCACCGAGGCAAAACCATGGTCAAAAGGCACATGCCTGTGACAAAACGTTAATTGCCTATGGTTTTCAGGAAATTCGCCGAAACCTTTGTGTTTGGATTTTACAATATTTGCCTCTGACGAGAATCGTTCAGGAACTAACTTGAACAGTTTATTAACAGACCAATAACATTTTTCATGATGTGATGTGTTGTATGTGTCTCAAAGGGATATTCAGCTCGCTAGATGAGTGAAATCACCTTGATACCTCCGCTGACCTCACCTACCTGCCATTACAACGTTTATGTGTCGAACTGCATGATTGAGATAAATAAGCATAATGGGAAGGCAAACGTCCTCTTAGTCCCCTGATCCCGTTAGTCGCCTCTTATGGCAAGCAAGGGCTGCTTAAGACCAATTCGAACCCGGATCTTCACGGACATGATCACCGGTGAATTTTATCATATGATCTATACTACCGAACAAAAGTTTAGACTCACTGGTGTAAATGTAGCCACTTAGTTCAGTCAGGTGTTCTAAACTAGATTTTGCAAAATATTCCATACTGTTTAAATGTACTGTTTACACATGAAGTGATGTATTGTAAAAGAAATTCGTAACGTTGAAAAGAAGATTGTCATGAGTTGAATATTGAATATTGGCGAATTCCTAACAAAACTTTACATTAAAACGCAACTGTTCACATGCACGATATCTGCACATGCTTTTCAGCAATTTGATGATTGATCCTCGTGCAGTTCATCTGCATAAGGTATGCAGTTGGTTCCCCCAAGTTAGTGGAGAAGTCCATCTTCGATGTAGCCTCATATATATACATAACATATAGTGAGTGCTTTAAGTGAGTCTAAACTTTTGATGGGTAGTATATAATAATAGCATAGAAGAAAGATTATAAATATAGAATAGCCTGTTAAAATAGTTCCAATTCAACATATACGAATTATTTGTGTGCACAAGTGTACAGTCCTCTGAGTCAACAATTCGCAATGTTTCCACCAAACAAACTAGGATGAGGTATGTAATTATAAAAGTCCATAGCACCTTATTCCTACATGTACATATGCTTCAGTGGGAATCGTGTTAAAACAGTGTAAGAAGCATTTCAGTTACTTCAAGCCAAATCATAGATGAAGCCAAATTGATGCATCTCTTCCATATTTACCATAATGACAAAAGCCATTGGAATGCTATTATCTAACATGATCCTGTCAAGATTCTACTGAAGTGGCAGAGAGGACGATGGCATTACCCAGTGACTGCCTGGTACTAACCCATGCAACTGCAAATTTGCAGGTTTCCAGAGTGACCTTTATGATACTGTTAAATATACTATTCACACTTTGCCAAGGATCCAATCATGGGTTCAACAGAAAACTATTATGTGGGGTCAGATTTGGTTTAAATATCTAAGCTGATTGTAAGCATGGATCCTAGGTTTCAGTATGCCATTTCATCATTTGGATCCCATGCCTGCTATTGACATGTGTAGTTTATTTGTCAATGACTCATTCCATGATTTGCAAAATGGTTGATTGGTGCCATGAAAACCCTTTTTTTTGTTACTCATGTATCAAATGCAAAACGTTAGATTAAAGTGGCTGTTTGCCTAAAGAGGCGTTACCATATTATTATTTATCCAGTTTTAAATGGATACAGTTTCAAATTATAAATCTACGTTTAAGTAAAATTGGGAATTTTTGTGATCCTTAGCAAAGTGTGAGTAGTATAGATAACGTCCATACAACATGTCAGGTACGTACGAGAGAGAAGGGAACTGGAATCTGTAGCTACGTTATCATACACTCATTCTCTAAAGTGTTTAGTCATATCAAGATAACTCATCTATCATAAACACATCGATAGACCAAAGTAGCGAACCGTGAGGTCTTTACAATTTGGTGAAACTCATGACACAGGGGAAACTATTCATAGACAGTTGATCAATAATCAGAACGGATCTTCACAACCAGCGTCTCTAAAAACGTTCAAGGTTGTACTGTAATTCAACTCCACTCGAAAATCCACTCCGTTGTTTAAAAAGTTAGCAATATATGGGCATGGCGCCAGGTTCTGTTACAAGTTTCCTGTTTCCTCCTGTTGTAGTGATTGAGTGGGGAAATCAAATATAAAAACTTTCCTTTCTGAAGCCCTAAAACGTGTAGGAGGACATTCACACACTAAATAGCCACAATATCCTGCGTTTTAGAGCTGTTATTTTCCGATAAACACCCACGTGAAAAAACACAGACTGGGCTACAGCAGGAACCTTTTTTTGAATCACATAATGAACCTCTGCCTCAGTCACAACCAGATATAAAGGTTGAACTGTTCCAGAATCCATGAGTTCTGGACGATCGACGTCCTTTTGGTTACACCGACATTTTGAGACAATATGATAACACAACGGCTTCTGCTGCTGTTGCTACTATAAATACTTTCATCCCCAATATTTCTTAAGAGTATTAAGAATAAAGGGATGGTGCATATCGTGCTAGGGGTACCATGTAGGCAGCTAGGGGCACCATGTAGGCAGCTAGGGGTACCTTGTAGGCAGCTAGGGGTACCATGTAGGCAGCTAGGGGTACCATGTAGGCAGCTGGGGTACCATGTAGGCAGCTAGGGGTACCATGTAGGCAGCTAGGGGTACCATGTAGGCAGTTAGGGGTACCATGTAGGCAGCTAGGGGTACCATGTAGGCAGCTAGGGGTACCTTGTAGGCAGCTAGGGGTACCATGTAGGCAACAGGTGTGCTACAGGTTCATGTGGTTCCAAGAATGGACGCTTAACTTTGGTTGATAATCATATGAATAATGAAGACTGTTCATGGTACAGTACTTTTTATAAATATACGCCCGTCATATTATTTTATATTCTACTGTCCTTTGGACAATGGGGTAAAATCTTTTGTCCATAGTCTGCATTCGGTCAGAGGATTAAGACATCTCACAAAAGATGGAAAGTGTTGTACAGAACACAATAGAGATAGGACAGGTGATTAAAGGAGAAGACTTATAGAATGGTTCCAGACAGAGACAGGGAGAGAGAGCAGAATTAGACCTATGTTTGATGTCTAGCTGTGATTGTGTCCTGTGGATAAAACTCTCATATCAAATGCTTAACAGTGACAAAAACGTATTACAAGGATGTGTGTACATTCCCCTGGAGGGATCCCCTATTATGATCACTACACGTTTGCTGATTTAAGGAATGATGTACTGACTGACTGAGTTTAGTTTTACGCCGCTTTTAGCAATATTCCAGCAATATCACGGCGGGAGACACCAGAAATGGGCTTCACACATTGTGCCCATGTGGGGAATCGAACCCGGGTCTTCGGCGTTACGAGCTAACGCTTTAACCATTAGGCTACCCTATAAAAGAATGTAATAGTGGTTGAGGATGTTAATGCTAGAACCATAATACTGAGTGATATCAATTTTATTAAAAATGTTATGTCTGTTGGTGTACCAAATGGCATAATTGATGGCGTTAATGAAATTAATTAATGCTCATCTAACTTGGGAATATCAGAAACATGGCATTCGAATGATTCTAGTAGAGTTTAATAATCATGCACATAAACTTATAGATGTGTGCAAAATAAACAGGTTAATCATCATTAATGGCAAATATTGGCAAGATAAGAGTATTGGTAAAAACACATGTAAGGATATAAGTGTTATAGATACTACTTCATCTCTAGACTCTTTGAATTATGTCTCTGACCTTAAATGGAAACGTTTCATCACATTGTAACTGACGCTTACTGTGCTCTGCAGTCCTGTTTTAAGTGTGACTTTACGATGCAAATAACAACCCAAGTAAAACTCGCTTTACAACAGACAATTGTCACACAGGCTTGGAAAAAGACTCCACGTGCATGTCGGGACGATAGACAAGAGGCACGTCGACGATATCGTTCTGTCAATCAACAACACTGACATTTCATGTGTTTTCTCTCAAATCGATTCCTTGTTGCCCGAAATATTTGTAGTGATATTATTAGCATTGAACATGATATTAATAATATTTTCTTACAAACAGCGAGACTCAATTTTGGTGCGAAGCGTGTTAATCGTGCTACCAGATGCGGATGTAACAGAGCCAAGCCTTGATTCGGACGTCAGTGTGAGATCAGTAGGGGGCGGTATCATCAGGCAAAAAAGGTTTTTAACGAACACAAAAGTTTACAAAACAAAAACATTTTGTAAACAGCAGCAAAAGTAATGAAACTGCTCTTGGAAGGTTGAATAATAGACACCGTTTTAAAGCGCAAGTTAATATTTCCATGTTACATATAAGTGACACGCGTACGTATTGGAAAATGTTACGTCAGAAAGATACTGACGCAAATTTGCTCCATCAATAAACTTTTGATTATTTGAAGAACTTAAATACAGAAAAGGCAAATCATATCGCAGATGATCACTTTGATCGTAGCACTGATTTTGACTTATGTGTGTAATGATATTTTGAACATTGTCATGAGAAAGCATGAAATTGTATGCGCCATACGATGGCTGACCACCCGACCCGTTAGTCGCCTCTTACAACAAGCATGAGTTACTGAAGATCAATTCTAACCCGGATCTTCACGGGTAGAAATAGGAAGAAATGCGGCCAGGATAACATTATTATTGAATATAGTAAAATAAACTGTGCGAGCTTTTTTCATCTTTGTATGTTATATCTTTTAATCTAATATTTGACTCTGGGATTTTCCCGGAACAATGACTGAATGGTATTATCCGTCCTATCTGCAAAGGTACAGATAACACT